CATTGACTGCAAAAGAATCAGTGCTTTCTCTCCTTAGATCCATTGACAAGGCTCTGGGGGAGGTGGCATTTTTCTTGAGCCATCTAAGCTAATGAGACAACATCCTACTAGCTTAAAGAGGAGAAATAGCTTCATGTTAAACTCCTGGAAGCAGTGGTGGTCATTTGGTAGATGATGTTATGAAAGATGAAATCACTATAATTGATAGTTTTGAAAGGCATGGACAATAATAGAATATTATCTATTGATAACGTGTATGAGAATATCTTTAACTGGACTAAAATACAGTGTACTCATACTGGGAAAATTCATTCTGCAAGCTGTAATGATATACAGTGATTGAATGTATAAATTTTAAAAAGGAAGGTATAGATTGGTTTTTGCAACAGAATAGCTCTCTAACCCTAGACTTTAGTCCAAAAAAGAAAATATTCAAAAGTTTTTTGTCACAGGTTATATTTTTACTTTTCCTGTACTTTTATATATATATATAACTAACTGAGTTTTATTTGTTCCATAGTAAGCTACCTAACATCTTTCCCATTAAAAAAATAATTACTAAATTTGAATAAAGATATCATAAAATGAGTTAGAGCCCAATTTAGCTTTGGGGAGGGAACATAATTCTACTCAATTAAGGAAAACATTTTTACAGACCATATATTAGTTTATCTTTAACACCCATCATGCCACGAATTCATAGGAATAGGTTCCAGAAGCTTAGGCTCCTTCCATAGGTTCTCGCAAAGTGTGCTTCTCTGGATGGAGCAGATGACCCTTTAATTGAACCCAGGTACCTTTCTCTTTGGCTTCCTTCTTTTTCTGGTCATTTTCTTTCACACGTTTTAGGAAGCTGTCTCTGCTCTTAGAATGCTTACTATGCTCAATACCCACATTAATTCTCTTGGCAAGAATCTTGCCCTTAACTTGTTTACAACAATGCCAACAGCATGCTGGGTAACATTGTAGACTCTTCAGTTTTGCCATGGTAATGTTTGTGGGACATTCGTTTTTGAACCATACCTATCTCCTTGATGTCTACAATATCACCTTTCTTGTAGATTCCCATATATGTCGCCAAAGGAGCCACCCCATGTTTACTAAAAGGCCTCTTTCCCTTTGTGTTCGTCACTTTGGTTAATGACTGGAAGATGGCAGTTCCGGCCAAAAGCTACTTCAATATTTTTAAAAATCTAAACTCTTAACCATTTTGTTGTTGTTGTCATATTTTTAAAATATAAGGTCTCACTATATTGTGATCCTCTTCCCTCCGTCTCCTAAGTTGCTAGAATTTCAGGGGTGGACTAGTGTGCCCAACCTTAGGCTGGACCAGGAATTGAACCTGGACTTTCCATGTGGTCCCAGACTGTGGAGTACAGCATCTTAGCAGCTTTTTCCCCTCTAGTTAAATTTTTATGAAGCCCATGTGTCCCTAGCAACTCTGAATTCCTTATCTGCATTGTAATCAACACATTTGCACAAGTATATAGATACTTAACATTGGTTTCTATTGCTTTCTTTTTTCTTTTCTTTTCTTTCTTTCTTTTTTCTTTTTTTTTTTAGAGAGAGATTTTATGCTATACTCATGGGAGAGACAGAGAGGCAGAAAGCAAAAAATCGCCCTCCAGGGAGGATGGCCACACCACAATCCCTTCTCCTCCATTCTCCTGTTGAGACCTTGGGGACGCACATACATGAGCCTGGCATGAGTTTTAAGCTGCCAGGTCTGGCTCAAATTGTGGTCGACTACATGGGAGTCCAGCGATATAACTATTAGGCCATTTGCTTTTTCCTAGGTTCCTATTTCAATTAATAGAATAGGATGATTGGGACCAGCAGTTAGCATAATGGCTATGTCGCTGGACTCCCATATAGTCAACCGCGGTTCAAGTACCCAACCTGATGGCTTAAACTGATGCCGGCCCGTGTGTGTGTGTGTGTGGCCAAGATCCCAAGAGGATAAAGGAAGAGAAGGGATTGCAGCGTGGCCATCACCACACTGGAGATTTCTCACTTTCTGTCTCTCTGTCTCTCTCTGTCTTTCTGGTGATCACACGCACCCTATAGCAAAAACCTCTCCAAAACTAAAAAATAAAATAAAAAAAAGTATAGGATGATTATTTTAGGAAGTTAAAACATGGGTCAGGCATAAAACTTTTGATTTCATGTTAAAAATATGTTATATAGAGCCAGGTGATGGCATGGTGGTTAAAGTGACTGGATTCCACATGGCTGACTGTGTGACTGGAGTACAAGACCTGACAGCTTGAGAACCATGTCAGGCACATATGAGTGTGTGCCCAAAATTCTGAGAGGAGAATGGAGGAGAAGGGATTGTGGCATGGTCATCCCTCCACAGGTAGTGCTTTCTCACTTTCCTTCCCCTCTCTTTCTTTCTCTCTCCCTGTCTCTCTCCAGCAAGCACACATAGCCTGCAGCATTTTTTTTTAAAGTTATATATGTGTTTCATTATTGTGAACATAATTGCAAAAGTTTTTTTTTTTTTTTTAGTGATTTCTGGTTTACGTATCTACATCTTTGTAGGGTACAGTGCTTTTTCAAAGCATACATATAGTGTGTAATAATCAAACCAAGGATGTAGACATATTCATCTTCTTTAACCTTGACTATTACATTATGTTGCGCACATTCAATAATAATTCTACTATAATAGTTTCTGTTTCTCTTTTGAAAATACATTGAATTGTCAGTGACACTTTTTACTCTGTTGAGGGGCACCATGGCATTCTTGTCATTGCTGGGTATTTCTCTCTCTCTTTATTTTTGATTGAATAAACATTTAATACCTTACAATAAAATGTTATATACATTAGAAATGTAGAAAAATGTATATGCTCACTGAAATAGACTTGAACTAGGAAGCCTTACACTTAATTATGAGATTACATAGATTCATCTCAAATATGATTAAATACATTTATTTCAGTTGGGACTACTGTCTTTATTTAGACATATGTTTATGAAGAAATATAAACCAGATAACTTGGTTTAAGAGGTTCTAACAACATACATTCAGCATAAAGTTGTATTTTCTCTTTGAAAATGTTTAGTGAATACTCGTGTTGTATTCTGAACTGACTTGATTCAAAATTTTTCTTTTAAGTTTGTTTTTCTTCCCTGAGTGAGAGAGACAGAGACAGAGAGAACACTGCCAATATGGTCTTGATGTTGCGATCCACCCCCAGCCTCCATCAGCCCAGAGTCATAGACACACACATGCTTGGAGTACTCAGGGTGGCCCCGGGACGTGAAACTGGAACCTTCCCATATAGGTCAACATCGCAGGGTGTCATGTTTTATTGCTGGACCACCATCTAGTCCCCAATTCTTTAATAAAATTTTAGCTAAACTACTCTAAACACTGTCAGCCTGCAGAGGGCAATAACTTAATAAAGTTCAGCTATGTCGACTTTAGCATTCAATCCAGAATTCTCCAGTCAATATCCAATGATAAGTACATTGGAGAATCTCAACTCTGCAATTCAAAAAAAGAATCTGTTAAAATGATGTCAATACAAAGTTAGGATCACTGCAAACCATTTGAATGTCTTATGTTAATAAACTAGAAAGATTAAAATGACATCAATGGAAATTGCTAATCGCAACTACTAAGTTTGTTAGCCCCATGAACAAAACTGACAAAACGTTAACAAAAGTGCCCTTCACATAAAACTTCATGGAAGAAATCTACTTCCCTATAAATTGAGTGTAAGAGATTAAAGCCTGACACAACCTCGGTATCATTCTTGTATGTTTGCCTTCCATAAACAAAAATGAAAGTCAACCTCACGCCAATAGACAATTCAATATATGCTACCACATAAGGACATGGACTATTTAGTCTAATTGGATCAAAGTTCTCTTACAAAATTCAAATGCTACAGACTCCACAATGTGAGATTATATTCGACCCTTTTCCTATAAAATGCTTTTTTTTTTTTTTCTTTTTGGAATAACCGATGAGTGTAAACATGAGTTTTTCTAAAAGGAAAAAAGGGGTTGAGTAGCAAGTGCGTTTTCATTCGTGGTCAGGTACTCATCTGAAAAGTGGTGGCAAGAAGCCAGGTAATTTCACTGCTACTTGCAGAGATCAGGCTTTGCCCACCTGCCTCCTGGTCGTGTGTCCTGGACCCACTTTCTAGAAACCACTTCCATGCGAGGAAACCCCCCGCCCCCTACACACACACACACACACACACACACACACACACACACTGTCTGGTCAGTTTCCCCGCGGACCCCTCGCTCCCTGATATGGCTCTTTAGGCAGAGTTGACTATTTCTGAATGCTAACAGGAGGTACCATTTCTAGAATACCTGCTACCTGCTGAATTCCCAGTAAAGTCCTACATCGTAGATTCTATTAGGATGCTAGTTTCATAGCTAACAAGCAAACTTTGGGGGATAATATAGATTAAGTCATTGCAAAGAGGCAAACTAGTAAGTGGCAGTCAGGATTTGAACCTATGGTTCTCCTGCTTCAGAATTTATAAATTAAGTCATGGTCTCCTGTTTAATGATTTATAATTATTCTTTCATTGTTTGATGAGGTGTTAAATTAGATCAGAAATTCTTCCCCTCCCCCCCCAAAATATTTTTTATTTCTGGGAGGGAAGTGTCACTCTGTCACTTTGAGGACATAAAAAGTTTTGCTGATCCTTCAATAGAAAGATTACCAGGCACCAGGTAAAGGGCTCACTGAGTAATTCATCTAGAGAAAAGGGAGGAAGGGTTGGTGGCCTCATTCACTTTCGTGTCCTTCTCCCGGCTCTCTCCTCCCACGTCCTCCCCACAAGCATACCTTGGTCAGGTTAGGGTATTCTGAGATCAGAAGGGAAGCAATGCCCAGGGTCAGGCTGCTCTGAAAAGTGCAGGCATCCCACTTTGCTGCCTGCAGGTTTTGCTTTCTAAGAATTTGCCCTCAAACTGAACCCGGAGAGTGGATTAGAGGGGTTCTTCCCGCCACCCCCGCTTTTCACCTGTTATTTACACTGAGCAGGAGGAGTCTGGTCACCGTGGAGGTTGGGCTGAGCTTGCTTGGAGTTTGCTCCGTGCTGGGTCAGGATCTCTGGCTGTGGGACAGGCAGCGCTGTCCTCTCTGCCTGTCCCGGCTGGGCTGCGCGCGTCACTCACCTGTAGGGGAGGTCGGAGGCCGGTGCGGGCCGAGGGGCGGCGCCCTCCGTCTTTCCGTAGTCAGGCTTGGGCTTCTGCGTCTGCCGCGGCCCCCCAACGACCGCGGGCCCACGGAGCTGTTAATTATTACCCCTTTGCACCACAGCAGGGACCTGTGAGAAACCTGAGCCACTCCCTGGGCCTCAGTGCATGTTGGGAGTGTTTACTTTGTTTCTTTGGAGCAGCTGAACTCCTTTGCTCTCTGCCACACTTCTTGAGCAGTGAACTGACATCCTAGTTAACGCTTTAACCGCGGAGTCTGATTCTAATCTCGGTTCTCCAGGCCGTCTGCTAGAGAGGAATGGTCATTGAAAAAGGACGACAAGAAGGACATCACACTTTTAAACATTTCTCTTTCAATTTGAAACTTCTTAATTTTCATTCATTCATTCATTCATTCATTCATTCATTCATTCATTCATTCATTCATTTATAGGGTGGCTGTGCTCACTCACCAGAGAGAGAAAGTGAGAAACACACCCCAGGAGGATGGCCACGCTGTAATCCCATCTCCTCCATTCTCCTCTCAGGATTTTGGGCATGTACTCCTAGGCGCCTGGTGTGATTTTCAAGCCGCAGGACGGGGGACCCAACCCCTACACTGTATAGCTGGCCACCTGCCACTTCATTTCCCTGCCGAATTGCATACCATGACCCTTACCACCTGTGAGTCTGCTTTCGTACATCTTGGGTACTCATTGGGCACCTATATATATTTTTTAAGCTTCATGGAAGAATCTGGTGAACATCAAAGTTGAAAATGATTGTAATGAAGTAAAACAGAGGAAATAAATAATAATTTAGCTGTTATCTACTGAATTGTATTTGGGACTCTGCTTTTTCTCAATATTTTGCATTTTTAAAGGGCACCAAAAAGACCGAGAGATGACAGATGACAGATGCCGTGGAAATACAAACTATTTTGATTACTGCACACATGTCCCTTCACGTATGCCCACATGCACATTTTTTTAGTACCATAGACATCTTACTCTTTTCTTATGTAAAGCTATTGCTAACTTTTTAGGAAATAGTAGATTATTTTACAAGTGTAAAGTTGAGCCCTCAATAGAAATTCCACAGGATTTCTACAAAGATACAGCAGGCAGAATTGATTTCCTGCACATGTCCTGCATGTTCAAGTGTCACATAAGAGGAACGACTGACCATCACTCTAGATTTGCGAGTTACACACTTGATAAGCATTGCACTTGAAGCAGGATTCTGCATGTGAGTCAGTTTATCTGTTTCACCTGTATTGTGTGGAGACCAGGAACTGATTTACCATCCTTTGTTGAATAGATTCATCCCATCACAGTCAAAGTTTACAAGCTCCTCTAAGGACTCATGACTTGGTATTCCTTGTGGGTATTTTTTTTTTTTTTTTTGATCACCATATTGGTGCCGTCAACTCTGGTATGGGGTTTCTCCTAGGGCTGATCTTCGAGTGATGACTAAAAGGACTTGCAGCCTTTGTAGTGCCTGGTTCCAGAATGGCTCAAATTCATGCTCCACCCCCATCATATCTACCCTAAGGAAACATTTGCTTATTATCATTTGGGACAGCGTTGTTTCACTCTTTTATCTGCAAGTATTCTTGAAGCTTTTATTCTGACCATCGCTTTCCACTGATTTCTCACTAGTTTCCTTTTGTTAGAGCCTCAAAGACTCCTTGTGTTATTGAGTGCTTTATCTTTTTTGCAAATACATAACTTTTATTTTGTAATATGGAAAGTATAAAATTGGAAAAATGGAGAAGTTCAGAAATGAAGAGAAAAACTTACCTATATTCCCATCTCTCAAATGCAAATATTATCAAGAATTTGGTGACTATCTTTATCGACATGTTTTGTCTTTGGATATTTATCACAATGTTATTATAGTTGGTTTCTTTTCTTATAACCAGCTTTTTTCATGTAAAACATGTTATGGACAACTTTTCACATGTCAGTTTTTCCTCCGCAGTGTGATTTTAACCAGCTGCACTCTATGGTACCATATGGATATATCGTTATTTACTTAATCAGTTTCTCACTGAGAGAAAGGTTTTTTTTTCCATAAACAACATTGCAGTGAATGTTTATATATAAATGCACACAGCCATGACCATGACTTTTAGATATCGTTCAAAAAGCAAAGTTGCCAGATGTAAAGAATGTGCATTTAAAAAAAAATTCTCTCCTAAAAAAACAACCTTGTCAATTGTCAAACTTATGCTCCTAGGGTAACTAACATGGCTTATTACAGTGCTTTTTAACATTTACTAATTTGAAAGGTTTATTTTTAAATGATCTCCTTTTAACTTTATTTATTTATTATTTGTGTATTTATTTATTTTAATTTTGCCAGAGAGGGACAAAGCAAGAGCGAGAGAGAGAAAGTGAGAAAGGAAGCCACCAGGTCCAGGACTCATACCGTGGTCGGCCATCTGAGAGTCCAGCACCCTTAATCACCATGCCTGCTGGCCCAATGTGAAAGGCTTTTTAAAAAAAATCCATATTTGGGCCAGTAAGTGGGGTGGAGGTTAAGGTGGCTGGATCCCATGTCGTCTACTGTGCAACTGGAGTCTTAGACCCCGTGGCTAAAAAATCATGCAGGGTGCGTGTGTGTGCATGCCCAAGATCCTGAGAGGAGAATGAAGAAGAGATTGCAGTGTGGCCATTCCTCCTGGGGGATGATGTCTCACTGTTTCTCACTCTCTGTCTCTCTACTAAGTACATATGCCCCATAACAAAACTTTAAAAAATTATATTTTAGTTTAAATATGTATATTATTGGTTATTTGTAAGACTGAACTTTCTTTAGACTTGTATTTTTATTTTTTTCATTATTGTTCTCAACTTTTTCTTATTGATTTCTAAGATCTCCTGGAATATTGAGCATATCGATTTTTCATTATATGTGCTGTGACTGTTTTCCAGGTATTTGTTTACTTTTTAATCTTACTTATGATATTTTTGACAAATAAAAGTTTAAAATTTTAAATAATCAAATCAATTTTTTTAATCAGTTACATCTGTTTTGTAAAAACTTTTTCATCCTTAGAGTATATGACTATCTACAATTTTCTTCTAGTTTTAAATATATATATATAAAACTTATTTATTAAGTTAAACAATTTAAACCAGGTGAACTTTATTATATTAAAGGTCATAAAATTTAAATGTAACTTAATCTTTCTCTTAATTGAGTAACATTTATTAAATAACTATACATTATAAGCTCCAAGAAGGCAAGGATCATGTATGCCTTATCATCCGTTTAATTTCCTAAACTTAGCTCAGTGACTGGCAGGCCGAAAGCATCGTGGGCACTTTTTTTTTTTTTTTTTAATTTTTTTTTTCCCCAGACGGTGAAAACACTTGATGGAGAGAGAGAGGGAACGTAAGAAATCACTCCCCATGGGGATGGTCACCCCAGGTGACAGCCTAAAAGTAGAGCCTTAAGCTTACATTCACCTGACTGAAGGACCCTAAATGAACCCAATTTAAAACAGCAGAAAAACTGCCCGGCTGAGCGCAGCCCAAATTGCCAATCCAACAGGATTTTGAGCTTCATTCATAGTTATTGTTTTAAGCTACTCAGTTTTGGGGTGGTATGTTACATAGCATAAGTTATCTGAACTATCTGATGTGTTTTTCACACACACATATACATGCTTGTACATACAAACGAGCACACACACCAATGTATATTCTATTATGTTAATTTACACATGGATCACGAGGTGTTCTGACCACCTTGTGGAGAGAGACAGAGACAGAAACAGAGAGAGACAGAGAGACAGAAAATAAGAAATCACCCCACGGAGCGGGGGGTTGGCCATGCCACAATCACTTCTCCTCCATTCTCCTCTCTGGATTTTAGGAACACACACACATGCACCCTGCATGAGTTTCAAGCTGCCAGGTCTGGGACTCTGCATGAGCCCATATAAATGGAACAGAAAACAAAGGAAAAAAGAGATTGGGGTTATCATTAGGTTAAATAATTTCCACAGATCACTAAACCACTCTTAAAAAATATCTAGAGATAGTTGTAACTTGAAGAAACCTAAAAAAACAAGCCTTGGCTATGTTTAACACCAAGTGATCCAATCACTATGGATCACTCATGTCAGTCCGTGAGGCTGAGGTTGAAACCTAGGCACCAGAGAAATGAAAAAGAAAGTAGAGTTGCTTCAAGCAACAAGGAGACTTCCTATAAAATCCCAACTGGGAAATTGCCATAATGAGTAGGTCAGGTCCTCATTATGACACAATATGATAAATTACTTTTCCAATCTGTAAAGATTTAAACAAATATATTCTAGGGCCAGCAGATGATGTGGAGATTAAGGTGGCTGAATCCTACATGGCTGACTGTGCAATATGAGTCTTGGAACTGGAGGCTCAACAATTATGCCGGGTGCCCATGCGAGCATGCCCACAATCCCGAGAGGAAAATGGAGAAGGGAACTCAGCGTGGCCATCCCCTGGGGTGTGATTTCTCACTTTCCCTTTCTCTCTGGCAAGCACATGTGCCATATAGCAAAACTTAAGAAAAATAAAAATAAAAAAAATTTATAATCAGGAACTTTTGCCATAATGAGTTTAACAAATTACAACTGTAACAATTATCTTAACAAAATCTTAACATTTATCCTAAATTTGAAGAATAAACCATCACTTTCTGTTTAGATTAGGGAACATATAATTGCTTTTCTATGAAAACTAAGACTATTAGGATTCTAATTTTTATTGTTAATTTTTTGTTGAAAAATAAGACAAATAAAGAAAAATTTTCTTCAAAAATTCCCCTAAACTTTGAGAAATGCTGTGATGTACAGACTTTTTTTAAAAAAAAGTCATTTTTGCTGTAGGACCCATGTGCTCACTGGAGAAACGAAGAGAGACAGAGAGACAGAAAATAAGAAATCACCCCATTGGGATGGAGGGGATGCCACAATCACTT